GCAGCCGTACCAGTACCTAGAGTAGCAGTCTCAATGCCCGGATCGGGCAGGAAACACCGGTAATAGTCACCCTCATCACTAATAGACACAGCATACATGGCAGAAAGAATAGCATCAAAGTCAAGATCAAAGATAGCCACACCCGCCCTAGACAGCTCGCCCCAGCGAGGGATCTCTGAGGCCTCCGGGAACTGGTGACGCCACGCGTCCGTCAGGCGGCCAAAGCAGCGCTGGGTGGGGTGCGCACCCCCACACTGCTCACCCGCACGGTCGCCGGTGCGCAGGACGTAGGTGCACGGACCAAAACCCCCACCCCGCTGGCGTGCAGTGTACCACTCACGGAGCTGCTGAGGGGACAGGGTCTCACGACCGCGCTGCTGCTGCTGGCGCGAGCCACCACCGGAGCCACTCCTCTGCGAGGACCCGCGACCAGCTCCACCGACACCCCCACCGCCTCCGCCTCCTCCGCTGCCTCCACCACTGCCGCCGCCTCCGCCGCCGCCTCCACCGCCGCCTCCTCCGCCACCTCCGCTCCCACCGCCACCGCCGCCGCCGCCTCCGCCTCCACTGCCGCCACCGACCCCTCCACCCCCACCTCCACTCCCACCGCCACCCCCACTCCCCCCACCGCCTCCACCTCCACCTCCACTGCCCGCTCCTCCAGCTCCCTTGCCCCCCTTGCCGTTGCCAGGGCGGCGTCTCCCGCTAGGGGTAGACAGCGCGCCGACCGACTCAAGACCAAGGAGGTCGGCCGCAGCAGCAGAGGCAACAGAGGGCAGCATGGGGGAGGGAGAACACCCCTCAAAGATGGGGGTGCGCGGGTCACCTCGAGAGGCTCCTACAGCGACGATGCTCGTCTCTATCGCTAGGAGGGCCTTTTCGAGGAGGTCTACGGTGAGCGTGGTGGGACAGTCTGAGAGAAAGTGGTCCCTGACTACGCGAAGGGAGTCAGGGAGGCGAGTGACTAGGAAGTATAGAGTGATGTACATGGGGGGGGGGGGGGGGGGGGGGGTTCGTGGCGAAGTAGTCAGCAGGGAGTGCAGCGCGGTAGCGAGTGTCACTAGTGCAGAGGTGTGTGATGAGGTCAGCTACGGTGGGAAAAGCAGCAAGGTCAGGGAAGAGGTACGGCAGCATGAGACGGCTCAGTGCAGCAATGGCAGGGGAGGAGTAGCGCGCGACTACAGCGTCGTACAAGGTCTGAGCACTCGTGTACTGGCTAAAGTGCGAACGCTCGGAGGTAGGGAGGTGGCGACGCACAGCAAGACGTGCAGCAGCGTCGCGCGTGGCCCACTGGGAGCGAACAGTGGCGTCAGCATCAGCAGCAGGGGCAGGGGAAGCGCCAGAGGTAAGGTCAAAGAGAGAGAGGCCGTCTGCCCTATTGCACTGTAAGAACAGCTGCAGGTCGTCTACCCAGACCTCAAAGTCAACGGCTCGTCCCTCAGCGTCAAACGTGAGGACACTAGGGGTAGCCATGACGACAGATGACGAGCAGTGCAAACAGTAGGGGAGGGAGGGCCGTGCAGTGGGAGAAGGAACTGTGCTCACCAGACCGGGCAGCTCTGACGGTCTAGCTGCTGGGCGGCTCGGCGGCAGGGCGGCTCGGCGGCAGGGCGGCTCGGCTCCCGGGCGGCTCGGCTGCTGGGCGGCTCGGCTGCTGGGCGGCTCGGTGGCAGGGCGGCTCGACTCCCGGGCGGCTCGGCTGCTGGGCGGCTCGGCGGCAGGGCGGCTCGGCTCCCGGGCGGCTCGGCTGCAGGGCGGCTCGGCTCCCGGCGGTCCTGCTGCTGGGCGGCTCTCGTGCAGGGCAGCGCGGCGGCGCTGGTTCAGGGCGGCGCGGCTGTCGTAGGTAGGGCGGCGGGTGAGCCGCAGGTAGGGCGGCAGGTGCGCCGCAGGTAGGGCGGCGGGTGGGGCCGCAGGTAGAGCGGCGGGTGGGCCGCAGGTATGGCGGCGGGTGAGCCGCAGTTAGGGCGGCGGGTGCGCCGCAGGTAGGTCGGCGGGTGGCCGCAGGTAGGGCGGCGGGTAGGGCCGCAGGTAGTGCAGCGGGTCAGCCGCAGGTAGGGCGGCGGGTGGGCTGCAGGTAGGGCGGCGGGTCGGCCGCTAGTAGGGCGGCGGGTCGGCCGTGAGTAGGGCGGCGACGGGCCGTAGGTAGGGCGGCGACGGGCCGTAGGTAGGGCGGCGACGGGCCGTAGGTAAGGGCGGCGACGGGCCGTAGGTTAGGGCGGCGACGGGCCGTAGGTAAGGGCGGCGACGGGCCGTAGGTAAGGGCGGCGACGGGCCGTAGGTAGGGCGGCGACGGGCCGTAGGTAGGGCGGCGACGGGCCGTATGTAAGGGCGGCGACGAGCCGGTGCAAGGGCGGCGCGAAGCCGCAGGTAAGGGCGGCGACGGGCCGGGGCGGCGCGAAGCCGTAGGTAAGGGCGGCGCAAGGCCGCAGATAAGGGCGGCAAGCCGCTGCCGCTAGAGCGGCTCGACGTGACCGTAAGGGTGGCGCGACGGGCCGCTAGGGGCGACACGACGGGCCGCTTAAAAAAAAAGGAACGCGCGACCGAGGCGCGCTTCGGTGGGCCCAAGGAACAGTCCCTAGGAGGGGACCTGCTCTGATTCCATGTGAGAATGAGAACGAGGATGGATCAACTATGAATGAAGTGAGTATATATAGGAAACCCTAATTGGGTTGTACCCCCTATGGGATACCCCACTATAGCCTACACAGCAGCATAAGCTATAATGTTCTGACATCCAGCACTAGAGCCTTGCCGCCCGACACCTGGTGGAATGCGGTGGGATGTGATAGGATGGGAGATGGCGGGATAATGGGATGATGGGGTGATGGGACGGGATGATGAGAGGTTGGGATGGAAATTGGACAGTATAGTAGCTTGGGCGTTGAGGATAGATGATAGGTGCACGGTAAAACTGAAAGTGTGCGATGATGGGGTGATGGGGTGATGGGAGGGTGGGAGGGTGGGATGGATATTAGTCAGCGTAGATGAAAGGTGTATGACAAAACTGAAAAGGGGGTTCGGAAAGCTACTAGTAAAAAATGGGACGGCTGGAACTGGTAAGGGTGATGAGCAGCAACGAGTGAGACCAGTCAACGCAGATCAACTCACAGAGTCAAGGGCGTCAACGAGGCGTTGACTGGCATGTCCTCTGCTCGCAGGAGGCACACAGGGAGAGAGGGGAGGGGGGGGGGGGGGGGGGGGGGAGGGTGTGGAGGAGGGTGTGGAGGATGGTGGGGGAAGGGGGTCAGGTCACACAAAAACATAGCGGGAGGGGTATAGGAGGGAAAAAGAGGGAAGGGCATGGGAGGGGGGGGGTTGCAGAAGGATAATACCTTGAAGGAGAGAGAGGGGGGAGCGGGGGGATGGGGTGGTGGGCAGGAGAGGACAATACCTTGAGGGAGAGTGGGGGGAGGAGAGGATAGTAATCTCGAGGGACACCTTACCTGGGAGGGTGCCAATGCGCCAGGTAGTACCTTAAAGCTCGCGTCTCATATTTATCAGCGTTTAACATTCGGTTGGGTTTGCACGTCCATGATTGGTTCCACCAGAATCGCACCCCAGCTCGTCACAGATTTTGTCATTCGTCAACCAGTCACGGAACCCAACCAGGTGTTAAACGCTCTCAAGTGTAAAACGGATAAAAATATGAGACGCGAGCTTTAAACTGAGGCAGTTTCTAGCTGAGTACATGAGGGGGAGGTAGTTCGAGGCAGTTCGAGGCAGTACCAGAAGGAAGCAGCACCTGAAGGAGGCAACGCCTGAAGGAGGCACCACCTGAAGGAGGCAGCACCTGAAGGAGGCAACACCTGAAGGAGGCAGCACCTGAAGGAGGCAGCACCTAAAGGAGGCAACACCTGAAGGAGGCAACACCTGAAGGAGGCAGCACCTGAAGGAGGCAGTTCCGGAAGGAGGCAACACCAGAAGGAGGCAGTACCTGAAGGAGGCAACACCAGAAGGAGGTAGTACCTGAAGGAGGCAAAACCTGAAGGAGGCAGAACCTGAGGGCGGCAGCACCAGAGGGAGGCATTACCTGAAGGAGGCACTACCTTCTGGGAGGCATCACCAAGGGGAGGCAGCACCTAAGGGAGGCAGCACCTGAGGGAGGCAACACCTTAGGAAGGCAGTACCTAAGGGAGGCATTACCTGAGGGTGGCATTGCCTAAAGGAGGCACTACCTTCTGGGAAGCATTACCTGGGGGAGGCAGTACTTGAGGGAGGCCGTACCTGAGGGAGGCGAGATTTATGAGGGAGTTATCAAGCGGAACCATCTGCGCCATGGCTCCTTGCTCTTCTTCTCTCCCTCGTCGCCTTTCAAGGGCGATCGAAGCGAGATCTCTCCCCGCGTTGCCTCTTGAGTCGCTATAAGCTTTTCTTTCTTCGTCGTGTTTTCTTCTAGTCGAGTGTAAAACGCCAAGCCTCTTATCGCACCAAGCCGATCCGTGGACCGCCAAGCCTACCGCGTCGGTTACGCACGATTGCGCGGCGCCGATGCTTTTCAAATGCTCCGTTGTTCGATTCTCGCAGTCTCTCCCTCTCGTGCCGCACTAAACCACTCTCCGCCGTCAAAAGCGGCTAGTTACAGAAGCGGTGTGTTCCTGCGGAGTGCCTACTTCCCCTTCCTGCCTTTGTGCTAAAGCCAACACTCGAGAAGCCTTCGGTCAGTCGTGAAAAAATCGTGAGGAATATATACTCGCTATTGCCAATTTAGCATATTAGAGATCAGCGGACGAAAATTGTGTCAGAATCCCAACCACTAGACCATTGGGATAAAAGGGCTTGTTTGTGTAGCGGGTAAGTGCACCCATCTGTAAGCTGGCACTTAGATTTTTTATAGACGCGTAACGTCGGCGTCGTCAGAGTAGGCAGACGTGGTCGCCGACGTCTCGTAGGATTGTCTGCTGTGCCGACCTGCCTGATACCGCCGACATAGAATACGCATGTACTAGTTTATCGACCTCACCACGCCGACTTCCCATCGCCAGACCCTAGGTCGCCGTATCATGGCCAAAGGACAGCCTCGATCGACACTGCCGCAAACCAACCCACCGCCCGCCGATGTCGACATGATGGACGTTCCGAACCCCGCTAGCCAGGGTGAGGATGTGTGCCCGGTAGACCGTACACCGACCAGTAACCCCTCGTCGACTTTGCCGCTGCTTTACGATCTCAACGCCCTGGCCCAAATCCCGCAGGGAGAGTTCACCAAGGACGTTCCGCCCGCGCCCATAGGGGAGTTCATGAAACCACGCAAAATGTCGACGCCGACGGATGCAGGGGAGGCCGGGCCGTCATCTGTGCCGGACGGATCGGGCGACCAGGATGAGGAAGATTATTCATCGGCGAGTGACGAGGACGACCCGCGGCCCCGACGTGGTGCAGGTCCGCGCACGTTGGAAGAAAAACTCGGGGGGGAGCGTGCGTTCATAGAGGAACTGTTGGACGAGGACGAGCTTGAGGATCTGCTGCACTCGTCGGTCCCTCGAGAAATGTGGAAGGCAGCCAACTTCGTAGAGGAAGAAATGGTGTACGCGTGCGTCGACGTGCTCGTGATGGAGGCAATGCGCCACCTGAAAACTGTGAAAGTTTAGAAGAAAGAAGAGGACTGCACTAGCAAGAATGGGGATACAAATAGGAAACCCTAGAAGGGTTGTACTCGCTATAGAGCACCCCACTACAGGCTAGAGCATAAGATAACATTTTGACACACCCCCATAGCCAAAGTGGGGTGTAATCAGCAGAGCAAGCAAAGCAGTACAAGCTCAGGGTGGATCACAATGTCACCACACATTCTGAGCACAAGTTCAAGAAGCAATAGTTAAAGTTCACAATTATGAGCAAAGCTAGTGGTAGTCACAATGGGCAAGTGAGGAGGAGGAGAGAGAGTGAGAGGAGAGGAGATAGGATCGACGGATGAAGCTGCAGACACACGGGCAATAGGAGGCACACTGGCACATCGGCTACCGGAACAACGCTCCGGAATACTGGAGTAACTGGCCCCGCGGCTAAAGTAGCGGCAGACGAGCAATGGACCCACGGGCGGCTGGCACAGCTGGCTACGACTGGGCTACCGGACGAAGTCCCCGGAATACAGGTGCTGCTGGCGACACGACGGCAACCTCCATTCAGCTTCCCCAAACTATCCCACTCCCCCCTGGCACACACCCGCTGCTACACCGCTAGCTCCACTCCCCCTTCACCCCCCTTAAACCCTAAAACCCAATCTCCCACTCATCCACCCCCCTCAGCGACAGCTGCAGCAGTGGGAGACGAAGGAGGAGGAGGAGCAAAGGGAGGAATGCACAACTGCCTCCCCCATACTCGCCACCCCCTACTCGCCACGCGGCCCCCGAAGGAGCCGCGACGGGCGACGGGAAAAGGGGGGGGGGGGGGGGTGCACGTGCCGTAGGTAGGGCGACGGGGCCGGTACGCAGGTGGGGCGACGGGGCCGGGGTCGCAGGTAGGGCGACGGGGCCGGGGCCGGGGCGCTGGTAGGGCGACGGGGCTAGAGCCGGGGCCGCAGGTAGGGCGACGGGGCCGGGGCCGTAGGTAGCGGCGACGGGGCCGCTGGCGGCGACGACGGGGCCGATGCGGGCGGGGACAGGGTCGCTGCGGGCGGCGACTGGGCCGCTGCACGCGGCGATTGGATCGCTGCGGGCGGCGACGCGGCCGATGCGGGCGGCGACGGGGCCGACGCGCGGGTCCCCGCCACTCGGCGCAGCGCCTCCCGAGGGCGACGCGCCGAATGACGGGGCAGAAGCCCGCCGCGCACCTCGGGGCGCACAGTGGGCAGGCGCACGGCGGGCAGAAAACCGCCGCGCGCCTCGGGGCGCACGGCGGGAAGAAAAAACTGCCGCACGCCATGGGGCGTGCGGCACAGAGAGTAGCAGTAGCAGTTGCAGTGGAAGCAGCGAGGTGGTGAGCCCACCCACAGGATCGATCCAAGAGGATCGACCTGCTCTGATAGCATGTGAAAGTTTAGAAGAAAGAAGAGGACTGCACTAGCAAGAATGGGGATACAAATAGGAAACCCTAGAAGGGTTGTACTCGCTATAGAGCACCCCACTACAGGCTAGAGCATAAGATAACATTCTGACAAAAACCATAGAGGCCAAGAGCACGCTCAAGTCCTACACCTCATGGATATACGACTACAAAAGGTGGGCGGCGAAGATGCTTAAAAAATAGGCGACAAACTGCCGACAGCAGAACACACGAGGCACGTCGACGAGATAGGGCACTGGACATACAACAACAAGAGCAAGGATTGGGACAACGAGAAGGTGGTCAAGCGGAAGCACATATGGCTGCACGGCCCCCGGGTCACTATTACGCGGCTGCGCGCCTACATCAAGTTCATGAGGCGGGAGTACAAGATCGATGCCGGAACGAACGCGCGAGTGCAAGCCTACACGGTGCACATGATCCTCGGCCGCATCAAGGCCTGCCAGATGGCGGCGAGGGTGGAGGCGACGCTCTACAAGGAGAAGGAGTTGGGCATCATGCGGGAAATCTCGGTGGTCCGGTCGGAGGTGCGGGTCATGGTCCGCACCAAAAATTAGAGGGACATCAGGTAAGTTGGCATGCATCGCCGTGTTATGTCGCCATCGATTTGTGTTCCTCGCCCTAATATTCATATCCCTATATTGTTATGTCGACAGTAATTGCGCCGACCGTCGACGCGGCACCATCGGCGACACATACACCGCCGAACAGTTCCGCCAGATCATGACGAGGGTGCTGCCGGCTTGGGCGGCGTCGGCATGGAGGCCGCATTTCACCACACCTTCGCAAACGCTGTGGAGGTTTCTTCTCGTCAAGGTGCTCACGCTGCTCTCCCACCACAGCCTCATGCGCGGTGCAAGCATCCGCGAGATAACGCTCCCCGACATCTTCCTGTACCGATTGGCGAGCACCTCGTCGGTGAACCCGGATAACCAGCCGGTCGTCATGGTGGTCGCCGCGTGGAACTTGAAGACGTCGAAGGATGCGCGTCTTCAACAGAGCTACGCGGCGCGGCACCTCGAAGCGGAGTTGTGCGCCGTCGGCGAGACCGGGATGTGGTTACACTTCGTCCTCGACCAGATCGGCCAGTTTCACGGCGTCGACCTCATTCCGCCGGTCGACACCAGCACACGCGAGCTCTGGTACAAGAAGCACCTGTTCTTCGCCCGCAACGACCCCGAGCAGGGCGAACTCTCAGCTCCCAGCCACCAGCGATGGACGAGGCAGATGTGGAAGACGAACGGGGTGTTTTGCAAGCGGAACGTCCATGCCGCTCGGGCAAGCGGGGCGCAGGAGTTAGCCATCCACGGTACGCCTCGCGCCGAGATAGCCGAGCTGGGTCACTAGGCTCTCGACAAGATGACTCGAGCCTAAATCACAGCCATTCCCGTCGGTGTGGTGATGAAGAAGGCAGGCCATTCGGGATTCACGCAGGACTACTTCTTGGGTCGCAGCAGGGTGGAACCAGGAGACGAACCCCTCGCTCTCATCGCCGAGCACATCTTCCCCGGCGTCGACGACCTCCTCAAGAAGGTATGTTTATCGGTGCCGACCAAGCTTGCATGGTACTGTCCTATCCACCACGGCAATAACCCACGTCTGATGTCTAACTGCAGGCAGAAGAACTCGCGAAGAAGGGGTCCAACGCCGACATTGCGGCCGTGCATTTCTGGCGCACCCTTGTGATGTTCCGCCGCATTGTCGCCGAGGACCTCGCGGTGAAACTCGTCCGCACCCCTTGGCACCTGTACGTCCAGTATTCCAAGCTCTGCCGGATTCCCCTCTTCCAGCACTGGGCGAAGAGGGTTGAGAAGACCGACACCGACACCATAAAAAAGCGGCAAGATCCAACCCTCATCCAGCTAGAGGTAGGTCATCCTTTATGTTGACGTCGCGATGTGATCTATGACCGCTACAACCCCTCATCTGCACCGTTATTCGCCTACCATTGCAGGAGATATCGGTCCGCCATGACGCCCAGTACGCGGTCGTCTCACTCACGGAGACGCTTAAGCTCGAGAAGGAGAGGTCAACGGTCCAGAAGCTCGACCTCGAGGGGAAGATCGAGAATCGCGACGCAACCATCGCGTCGCTTGCGGCCGAGATAACCCGCCTCACCGAGGCTCTCCGCGTTTCAGAAGCTTGAAGGATGCCGGAGGCGCTGCCAGCTGCGAACGACCAGTCGCCGAGCGACGCTGGCTCCGCGGAGTTGGCAAGCAGGGGTGAAGGAGCCAACAAACCCAATAAACTCCCACAGACGGTCGAGGAGGCTAGCTACGAGCTGAACGTAGTGCAGCCTTGGCGGACTGCAACGACCGTCAAGGACGCGTGGCGCCTCTGGACCTCGTGCACCAGCGCCGACACTCGTCGTCTGTGCGACAGGTTCAGGGAGCCGGGATTCGTCGACCGCCACACCCTCCTCGACGGAGCCTCGCAGGGAGCACACGGGAAGAGGGTGCGCCGCATGATGAAGGTCATCGATGCGGTGCGCCAGCTTCGCAGGAGCGACGGCGAAGCCAGCACGGAAGCCACCGTCGACGCGCTTAACAAGATAGCGGCGCCTGGCATTGGGACCTTCGCAGATGCCCTCACGGTGCTCAACGCGGACGCCGTAGCGACCTATGCCGGGCAGGGTAAGGGCGTCAAAGGGCTCGGCAAGACGGAAGTTTCCAAGCTTCGTGGCGCCTGTGCGTTCGTGGCGCGCGGGTTCAAGCCCGAAACGTGGGTCGCCGACCTGTTCCCAGACACCTGGGTTGAGCAGATGAAGAAGACGTTGGCCGACCTGGCCCGCGAAAACGACGCCGGGCAGCTGCCTCCGACCAATAAGTCGACCAAGCGCAAGAAGACCGCGTGAATGTTCCTAGGCCTCCTGCTACTGTGGGCTGTTGCATGTTGTAGATGTTGATGCAGCATGCGTATGTTTCATACTGATACTGATGTCGACTTTTTGTTTCTCACAATGATCCTGTTGTTCTTGGCCTAGTGACACATTCACGTGTCGTTCTAACTGAAGTAGACAATCATTACTAGCTAATGTGTTCATTACTCATCCTACGTAAAGTAGACAGGCACGCACACAAAGAAACACAAACAACGAGCATCAAAGGGATCCGATAGCCGAAACAAACAAAACGATATCGACCATAGCAGCACCGAGTCCACGCAGCACTCAATCCTAGCAAACCGTCGACTAGGCTGTCGTGCTGTCCTTCTTCGCCTTCTTGCCCTTCTTCCCCATGCCGCCCTTGGCCTTCGTCCCCTTCTTGCCCCTCAGACCCTTCCTCCCCCTGTTGTCAAGATCGGCCTTCATCTGCGCGTCAATCGGCACCGCGATGTCCTTCGCTCTGAGTTTCGGCCCGGCGACGGGGCACATTCCCCAAAACGCCATCGTCTCAACCGTCGCTCTAGCGATAACGTCGGCATCTACTCCAGCATTCCCCCCCGGATAGACCCTATCAAGGGCGGTCCTCTGGAGTGTTGGCGCGACGTTGTAAGCAACCTCTCCCAGGGGGCGGTCCCTGTTCATCTCGGCGTTCAGCACCGCCTCCATGACTTTTCCGAATACATCGGCGGTCGCCTGGCTCGCTCCGCCGATGATTGCCGCCGACTTCCCTTCTTCCACAACATCCGCCAGCTGGGCATTGCAGTTCTCGACGAAGCACCACACAGCGCATGCGGATGCTGCTAACGCCCATGCCGCCATATCCGTCTTCTCCTCCTTGTCTCCCTCCTTCTTCGCCGCTGCCGCAGCGGTCTTACCATACGCAGTGCACATTGACACGCGGCCTATCATCGCCGACATCATGGACGCCGACTTCTCCCGGCCTTCCGCGGTGCTAGCATCGACTGGGTACCATATCGCTGGCAGGAGCACGGCGTGGAGACCATCGCCTGTGGACTTGTAATGGCGGTATGCGTCGAGGATCTCAGTCAGCTTGTCATGCCACCACAAACAGGGCGAACATTAGTGACAACGACAACGACATCGACTTTGGATCGGAGGATTGCCGACTTACCGTGTCTTTGGAAGGAGCGTACCCCGGGCCCACATCACCGTCCACATCCCTGTCGGCAAGATCTTGACCTCCTCCCACACCTCCTTCCACCTCTCCAATTCGGCGCTGTCCAAGCCAGTGAGCTCGGTCATGAGCACCTTGCTCACGAAACTGTCGTAGACGACGTACGCGATGGAGTTAACGTACGCGAGCTCCATCTTGTCCCGCGACTTGCCGATGTATCGATTGATGCCGTGCACCTTAATCTCGCCGACCCACCCTTGCTTGTCGCCCGAGGTATCGTGTCGGATGCCATGACCCCTCCTCTCCTTGCCCTTCCCCTCCTCCTCCTCCTCCTCCTCCTCCTCCTCCTCCTCCTCCTCCTCCTCCTCCTCCTCCTCCTCCTCCTCCTCTTCTTCTTCCTCCTCCTACTCGACCTCCTCCACCTCCTCGACATCCTCATCCTCCTCCTCCGCCTTCCTCTTTCCCTTTCTCCCCTTCGAGGAACCCTTGCCGACCGCCTTCTCCTTCCCCTTTCTCCCGGTCGACGCACCTTCTCCGACCGACTTGTCCTTCCCCTTCCTTCTCGTCGACGTACCCTCGCCGGGCGACTTCTCCTGATTCTCCCCTTTCCCTTCAACCTCCGCAATGCCGCCTCCATCTTTGTCCACCGCCGTCTCCGCTGCCATCCCCTTCTGTTTATCTGCCGCCTTCACCTCCGACTTCTGCCGCGTCTTCCTCTGTGAGCCCGCCTTCCCCTTCCGTTTCGACTTTCCTTCACCGACTGCATCACCGATCGCACTAGGCTCTGCCGCGATGCCGACGAGTCCCGCCGAAGGCTCCACATGTGCCGTGTCGGAGATGGCCAGGGTTCGGGGATTGGCTGCATCTAGATGGGCCTATATGGCAGCGATATCAGCGTCTGCGGGGACCTCCTCAACAGCGCCGCCGCCGGTGGCAAGCGCGACACGAACGCCCTTCTCCGTCGCCTTCTCCACATCAGCTGCCACATGGGTGGGTGGTGCGACATTCGCCGACGACGGCTTAGCGCCACAGCCAGAAGCCTGATGAGTCCTCGCAGTCGACGCTAGTGCGCCCAGCTGGGCGCGCAGCAACGCGGACTTTGGGTCTGTAGGAGTACGGGCGGCGACGACCAGCACTACACGTGGCACACTGGCTGATGGGACGTCGACAGCAGGGGGGGGCTGTTGAACAGCCCTGTGGCTGGCTAGGAGCCTGAGCTGCTCCTTGAGCGCGTCCGCAACTGCCGCCCCTTTTCCCGCGCGGCCAACCTTGTCGGCAGACGGTTCGTCGGCATGGCGCGGGACGTCGGCAGGTCGCCCAGCAGACGGTCTGGTCGGATGGCGTGCACCCGCGGGAGACTGGTGAGGTACCGCTGACGCCTCCGCAACCCCTGTCTTCGGGCCCTAGCCAGCTTTCGCGGACCCGCCTGGGGCCGTTTTGGCGGCGGCCTTCTCCTTGTCACGCAGCCCTTTCTCACCGCTACCCTGTCGTGGTGGTTTAACGGCGACCGAAGGCGGAGCCATTGGCAGTGCGTCATCAGTGGCATGCTCGTCGGCGGGACCCCCACCACCATGGCCCGTGCTGGCCGCTCCAACCTCAGCCAAGTGCTTCCTTAGGATGTCGACCACGCTCTTCCCCGACTGCTTCCCCGAACTGCCGTCGCCGGCTCCCATGCTCCCATCACCGGCGACGCGAGAACCAACCGCTCCCTTGGTCCGCCTCGCGCCCGTCGAATCGTCTCCGTCCCTCCCCCCCCCCCCCCCCCCCCCCCCCCCCCCCGCCGCCTCCTTCTCCGGCCCCCTTGCTCCCGTCGCCGGCGACGCGAGACCCCCCGCCTCCCTTGCTCCGCTTCGTGTTCGCCGAATTGTCCCCGTCGCCCCCCCCGCCGCCTCCCCCCCTCTTGTGACACAGCTTCAAGCCCTCCGTAGGTTGTGCTTGGCCGGCGTCGTTTGCCGACGGTGACGACCCACGCCGAGCAGTCGCCACCGTGCCGACGACCTCGGTCATTATCTTCAGTCTGGAGGCGAGAAAGGACTGCTGCGTGGTCTCCGTCACCGCCTTCAGCACGTCCTCCTTGAAAGACTTCAGGAAATCTTCCGGCAAGGCCTGCGCTGGGGCGGTCGGCGGCGGCGGCTGGACTAGGCGGGGCGAGACGGCGGCGGCAATGTTGGTCTGCGCGGCGCCGATGTATTTGATGAACGACTCCTACAACCCCTTCCTCGCCTCGCCCACCTCAGCCGTCACGTGCTCGGTCAATGTCTTCACCGCGGTCGCGCGTGCGACCGCCGCTCGTCCCTTGGGGCCGTTAAGATCCAGCAGCATCTGCCTCGCTAGCTCGGCGAAGGACTTGGCCGATTGAATTGCGCTGTCCATGTTGTCGGTGAGGCCCTCGGTGATTGTGGTCGCCATGGTCGACGTGGCCTCTTTGAGGCGCTCCTCCGATTTCCGGTCGGTGTCGGCGACCTGGGCGGTCAAACCCTTCACCTTCTCGAGGAGCCCAGCTAATGCCGCTACCAAGCTGTCGACCCGCCCCGTCTGCTCACCGAGCCGCAGTTCAAGGCGTGCATTGTCTGCACGCAATCGCCTGTTCTCCGCTCTCAGCTGATCGACGACGTCCAGCCGCGTTTGCCGCCCAGCCGCGGTGGAACCGGGATGACCGCTCGCCGCTTTCTTCCTCCTAGACCGCTCCCCCCCGGCCTTCTCCACGGTGGCATCGGTATGCACATCCACGCCCCTCTTCTTCGGGACCGCGGCGTTAACCCCTTCACCGACCTCGACCATGCCACCACCTCCGTGAGCCGCCTCCACGCCGACCTCGCCGAGATCCGCTGTCGCACCCTTCCCCTCCCCTTTGTCGTTCTCGACATCCGCCGATCTCCCACCCGTTTCCTCCGCTCCTCCAACAACGTACCCCTCCGCCATTTCCACGTCCTCCACCTCTACCAACTGCTCCTCCTGGTGCTGCCTCTCGTGCTCCTGCGTCTCCTGCTCCTGCTCCTGCTCCTCCTCCGACTCCGACTCCGACCCCGACCCCGACCCCGACCCCGACCTCGACCCCGACGACTCCTCCGAGCCCCCCTCACCCTCACGTTCCTCCTCGCGATCCTGGACCCCATCATCATCCCCGTGAACAACCTCAGTCCCGGTCACCCCCTTTCCTACGACCGCATCGGCCTCGTCGACGCCGACTTTCGACTTGCCACGCGCATCAGCAATGTTCGGGGCGACCCCTGCTGCTACGGATGCAGAATGGACTTCTTCGCCGTCGTCGTCACAGGCGTCGGCATCAACAACGATTTTCCCCGACCGTATGAGCGGGACTTGCTTCTTGATGAGGGCTACCAACTCGTTCCGCAATGCTTTCAACCCCGAGACGGTGGGCTTGTCCATGCTGGTGGCAATGCGACGGAGGTCGCCGGTCAGGAGATGGAACCGCCTCACAACCCTGATCAACGCGCTCATTGCTAGCAGGCCGGAGCCCGCGTCAAAGTCCCGGACGGTATCGGGAACTTTTTGCATACAACAGTGCAGAGCGCAAGGATTAGGGCGGCGTAGATGTGACACCATATGACGGTGAATCGTCTGGAAATCACATCTCGAAGGGGTTCGTCGCAGTCGGCGAGCCTCGCCTGCACCTCGTCTTCGGACAGCTTCGCCCACTCCCATTTCCTACCCTCGCGCCGCAGCTCAGCTAGAACAGCGGTCCGGAAAAACCTGCAAAAGCACGGCAAGGACAGTCGGTTAGCACGGTGCACGCTCCGTGTCGACAATGTATGCGATGTCGACTAAACTATCGAGCTCACTTCAGCACGCGGATCGCCTCGTCGCGGTGCCACTCCTTCACTGTCTGCAGGTCGGTGTGCCGGATCGAGGTCCTGACCTCCTGCCCCGAGGCATTGAACAAATCGCTGGGGCACAGGATGAGAACGACGCTGCAATGTGCTCCCGGAAGCGGTGCGATGCTGCACAGACAAGGCACGTCGATGGTGCTCAGAACAAATCACTGACACAGGTTGCAGCACACAACAGGACCTCGAACCTGCTCACCTCGATATCAGTGGGATAACCACCACATCGGCGTCGAAAACCGTCGCAAAGCATGTGTGGTCGTCCTGACCCATCGACGCCCGCCGACTCCTATCAACCACAATCGCTCGCCTGCATCCGTTGAGCGAATCCATGCGTGCCTGCACGCATGCATGGTTACAACAAGTTAGAGAGGTATAGGTGCGCGGCACGACGGTGGAATGACGGGAGCCGAACGACTTCGGCACAACTCAGCGTCAACGAGGACCTAACGCATTACGTCGGCGTCACCGATGTGATCTACCTGAAATCTAAGCCCGTCGACATAAACTACTGGACGCATTGAAACCCCGCTAGGGCCGACCAGCATGGAATAGGCCCGTCGACGACGACATCTCCATAAGACACTCACTTGTGACCGAGTCCCAAGCAACGGGCGTTAAACTCTAGCATAGGGTTTGTCAGAACGGCGTAGTCGTGCTCTTCGAACTTGGCCGTGTGTCCTCTACCGATGTCTAGATGCAGGGGGAAATCTAGCGAGGTCGGCGCCGCTTCGGCGGCTTTCTGGCCGGCCGCCATGGCGGGAGAGCGAGGATGCTATGCTACAGGCTAACGGAAGGCGCAGAGCTGGGAGAAAAAATGAAAGAGAAACGAGAACGCGAAAATGAGGGGCCAGTCCACCTCCAACGAAGAAAAGCCAGGCGGAGCCACGCAGGCCCGGTTGAGCGTCGCCCAGGGGGCCTTGATGCCTGGCTCGGCAGGGCTCATGCACAAGTGGCGTGGCACAAGTGCACCCTCGCCGCCGAGCCAACAGGTCGACGTCACATCCCCTGGCCTCGGTCGGCCAGGGGACGCAACTTCGCATGCGCGCGGTGCGACGTTTCGGCACCACGTGTCGATTTCGCAGCGGGTCGCGAAAACCGTGCGCCCCCGGGCGAACGACCCAGTTTTCGCTCGAATTTTGGGGGGTACGAAATGTCGCATGCATACGATGCGAAATGACGGGCGAGCACGTGGCGTCACCGCAACGGGTCGCGAAATAGTCGAGCGACCCGAGGGGAACCCCGGATTTTCGCTTAGACCTCGCCTGCCCGTACGGGCAGGCCGCGATGGGTTACTAGGACCTCGCGGGCACGAGGGAGGGGTGGGCTGCCTTTGCGGCAGGGTTAATTTCCCTCGCCCGAGCTCTCGCCAGCTCGCCGCCCCCACCCGGTAACGTGGGTCACTGTTCACTTTCGGGAGGGGGGGGGTTGCGGGGTGGCGGTCGTGCGCTCGGCCCAGCCCTTTGCCAGGCTGGCGGGCCCGCACGCGCGTCACTTGCCCGCCTCGTCAGACCTCTGTCCGTCGACCCCCCTCGTCGACCCTAGCAATTCGGGTCCGTCGACCGAATTCCGCTGGGATCTTCAGAGTAATGCTAGGATGTAGATATGGGCAAGTGCAAATCAATATAATTCAATTACCCTAATCCGGCCAATACTGACCACGAAAAATATGTTCTCAGCCTTATCATTACTCTACATTCTCAATATGTACGCTCAGAGACAACATTAGCAGTAAATATTTACGAAATTTTAATTTACTCTAAGGAGCTCAGAATGCTATTTCTCAGAAGCAGCCCTGAATTGTGCGCTCACTGTAAGGGGGATCAAATAACAACGACTTATTGTCAACCACATCATTTTAGGGTGTTTTCGTGTGGAACGTTTAGCCAGCCTCCATTCGGGTCAAGAACTCTCGAAGTGCCTGTCATAAAATCGTGGATCCGTCTCTTTGGGTCGTCCGACTTCGTGTCAAGCACGGAAACCAAAGTCTCTTGACTCGGACAGAACACGCCCTCACTCGGATCAGCTCCAATAAGTTTATTCCCCCCTCAGCAGCAGCCGCGTTTTGCGGGTTCACATCACAGCCAAAACCACGGACTGAATCCATGGCACACGCACTAGCCTATCATCTACCATTTTGCGCGTTCACAGTCGGAAGAACGTTTCGAGTTCTGGCGCTGGCGAGGCACCATTTGCGTGTAGCAGCCAATCCGTTGCCGTTTTGCGCGTTTGCAAGCTCCTTTTTCATGGCGCTGGCGAGTGGTACTTGCATGCATCAGCTAATCGGTCGTCGCTCCGCGCGTTCCCTATGCAAACCGGAAAGATGGCGCTGGCAACCCCGCACTTTCCGCTCTCCCGCATAGCAGCCGTGACCCGAGCAATAATGCCATTCATAGTCAAGCAGTTTGGCACTAGCTGGCATATTTCATGGAGCACTACAAACTGGCAGAGAGTGAACGGTTAGGAACAGCAATCCGTAGTTGCATACAGGAGTGATTTGCTTTTCTAATAGCCTTCTGTCTCATATAAACCCGTCTTTCCTTTTATCATACTCGTCCGATATCACGAACAACCAATCATGGGTCGGCGCATCGCTAGTCACGTTAATCTCGCCGTGTTTGCCGTGGCAGCAGTCGCTATCGTCGTCGTTTCTCTCCTCTCCGCGATTCCGTCGGCTGCGGCGGCAACTCCGCGTGCTGGCGGATGGTCTACCGTGAAAAACGCGGCATCGGATCAGCACGTGGCGGACCTCGCCAGCTTCGCCGTCGACGCGTACAACAAGAAACAGGTACTTAAAGAAACGTTGGTCGCCGTTATTGCTTTCATGCATTTGACTTAGAAAATAACATTTTTAACGGCCTAAGAAACACCTGAAAGACTTGGCGACGAATGAGGACTGAGTTGGCAAACTTCGCCGTCCACGCACACAACAAGAAAGACGCTGGATTATAAATATAAAAAAAAAACCGAAACCCTAGACGCTGGATCATATAGAAATTTTCTAATAATCATATGTGTTGGAGACGTCTCAGTACCAGAGCCTTCAGTAACCACTGTCTGTTGAGGTGCCTCAGAATTTTTTCCTCCCATTCCCTCCTCACCCCACCCCGCCAGATCCCGAGCCGAATATCCTCTCGGTCAAGTCTCGCCTTGTTGCAACGCCAATGGCGGCCACAAGCCTCTACTCTCCCCCCCTCCTCATCCCCCGCCCCACAACACCAGAACACGACCCTCAGGTTCCACGTGTTACAGTATCACGTCATGGCTGCTTCTAACGAACCCTCACTTACCGGCATGTAAGCCCTTTAATACTTCCTTCCCCTCCCCTCCTCGCTCCCCTCCCCTCCCCAAACCCCCACCAGAACAGGAACCCCAGGTTCGTCTTCCTGAAGGCTGCAGTTGCCTTGTCACGATGCCCCGTGACAAGGCTCAAGTGCTTTCATTCCTTACCCACCCAATCCCACCCCGCCCCAACCCACCCCACCCCACTCCCTCAGAACACGCACCTCAGGTTGATTTCGGTCGAGAGTGCCAAGAGCCAGGTGGTTGCCGGCACCAAGTGGAGCATCACAAGCCTCTTTTCTTCCTTCCCACCCCACCCCACCCCACCCCACTCCACACCGCCCCAACCCACCGCACCAGAAAGCGCGCCTCAGGTTAATTTCAGTCGAGAGTGCCAGGAGCCAGGTGGGAGCCGGCACCAAGTGGAGCATCACTCTGCAAGCCGTCGCCCCAGCAGCGAACACCGGGCACATCCGCATCAACCCACCCCTGACCACCTACGTGACCGAGGTTTTCGAGAAACCTACAGCAGCGGCAAAGCAGCCTACGGGGGTAGCACACCTGGCAGTACAGCCGTTTGTACAACGGCCGGTGGTGGGGGATGGGCAGTCGTCAGGCGGAGCGCAGCCGGCAGTGGGAGATGGACAGCCGGCGGGGGTAGCACAGCCGGTGGGAGACGGACAGACGTCGGGCGGAGCGCAGCCGGTGGGCGGTGGGCAGACGTTGGCGGTGAAACAGCCGGCGTTGGCAGATTCTCTCAAGCTGGTCTCCTTTGCCAAGAAGAAATGAGCGGCGGCTTGATTGCACTGATTGCTGACTCTTGAGGCATTTCAAAATACAGGCGAGCTTTGACGAGGTGCTCTCGGCAAGTATACAGGGTAGAAGTGAGACAAGGGTGAAAGTTCAAGCAAACTTACAGAGTTTAGCAGTTGTTTAGCTGTTGTAGGCTGTTGTGGGCTGGATGTATGGCACTGTAGTGTGAAGTGTGCCGCCTCTGCTTAGTCCTATACCACTGTGCTGGTAAAAATGTGCATTCTGTATTGAAATATAACAAGGCGAACACGTACAGGCTTTCTTGATTCCCAAGGCTAACGTGGCATGAGGATGTCGCTTTAGTGAAAATTGGAACAACGTAACAGAAAAACCAATCTATCTTGTAACATTGTTAGGTGTCATTGTCCTCTGTACACTTCCGCGCCAATTTTTGTCAGAATATATCTGTAACTGCTTGTAGCTGTAGTTAGTGTAGTTATTTTAACTTTTTTTGGTGGTGCACCTTCTTTGTTCCTTTGCTATATGTTGTTGCAAACCTATAGTGAAGCCCTCTTTCTCCGTTCCAACTTTCTCGACTTTCATCAACCATAAACCTAAGCAACTAAGAACCTAACTAGCAATGGCTCCTAAGCTTAAGTCAAGCTAGATTCTCAACATGGTATT